CGGGGCCCCCCCCCCCCCCCGCCACCACCCGTCGGTGTTACTAGTCTTGTCACACCCTTGCTCAAACGGTTCTGACCCGATGAGCACAACAACAACCATGACGCCACGTCCTCCGTTCACACGAACAGGCATGTTCGGCGTGCTGGCACGCGCAGCGGTCGCGAGCAGTGCGTTGGAGCATGTTGTCCGCCCGGCATAGAAACCGCGTGTGTCGCTGTACGCGTCGTTCTTGCCCTTACTTGGCGGGTGTCCCGTCTCTTCATCAGCTTATTGTTATACCTAGGGTTCGCGCTAACCGCCCATCGAACCGCTGAAAGGCTCTGTTCTCACGATATCGAAACTTTGCCCTTCCAGCTGCGGCGCTTGTTCTGTGTCCTCTCGAGATACGAGACGTTGTCGGCGACTTCGGACGGGTATCAGATGGCCTTCCCGGCCTCAGGCTTCCGGCTCCTGCGACACCTGGTGTCCGTGGACTGCGAGTGCTTCGCCAGCCCTCTCAACTGCACCTTGTCAAGGTGTGGTCGAATCGAGTTTCGATGTGCGTTGCCCTGTTGTCGAGGTGTGGTCAAATCGACTCTCGACGTGCGTTGCTCTGCTGTCAAGGTGTGGTCGAATCGCGGTTCGATGTGGTTTGCCATGTTGTCGAGGTGTGGAGTCGGGTGCATTTCTGGTGATGTCGGGTGGTGACTGCGCAAGGCACAATCTGCTTTTGTAGTCCCCAAATTAGGTGTTTTCAGATAATCAAGAGAGGTCAGTAGAGTTGTGCCTTTGTCTTCTGACCCAACGAAAGCAAGTCTCGGCCTGTTGGTGTACTATAATTCTCTGAAAACCTGGTTGGTGACAACGCCACCGTCGCTTGCTGCTAAATCGCTCGCAATTCTGGTCCGATCTGGGCGCCCGTCCGTCCGTCCGCATGCATGCCAGATTTTGCTCCGTGGCGTACGACACGGATAAGTTCTTCGGAAGCGAGGGAAACTTTTTTCAGTCGGAGTATCAGCAGGTACGACTACCCTGGAACGCTTACCTTATTGCCCATGTTTGCCTCTAGGTTGTATCAACCCCTTGCGGTCTGCTTCGCTACTATCATGGAGTACTCAAAGTGTTGACCCAGGATACTGTGGGTGGGGTTTGTTGTGTTGGTATTGCCTGACTTCACCGGGTCTCGTCCTACGATCTGCACGTTGAGCGTCGTGAAACGTTAACGATGATGATACAGAGCTCGGCATTACTTCAGGCCCAGATCCTTGAAGATGCGTCTCTGCTGCGCTTGCTCCGTATCTCTCACCTTGAGAACTTGCTCTTATTTCGCACTGCCCTTGCTTCGTTTGCTTGGTTGTTGTCCCCCATCCCCTCCCCGTGGGCGGCTGGCTTGTTCCAGGGATCCTTCGAGGTGTGTATAGTATGTGGCGCCAAGATTTATTTGCGGTTTTGCTCTTACGTTGCACGGAATGGAATACGCGGTATGCCCTGTGCGGTTGGTTGCGCATGCGGACGTACCGTTAGAGCCGGGGGAGGCGATGATATTAGCTCAAGTTTTTAGAGCGTGTGGCCGTGAACACGGCACGAACCGAGTACATTGAGGTGGCCACGTGCAAGGTGTAAGACAGGGTAGTCGAGGGAAGGGTGGGGTAATATCGACTTGCTTTGTGAACGGCAGGCGTAGGAAGCGATGGGGGTCTACATGCAGTCTCAATCTCAAGAGAACGACGACACGGGAAGGTCTTTGCGAGATTATTTTGGTTGGGCCAGCGTTTTTTGTATTGAATTCGAGTTGTGAAAACTGGTCCACTGCTGTAGATGATTTGTTCTCAGAGACGTACACTTGTTCCCGACTTGGTGTACTTGAATTCATCAATGTTGTGTACGGTGGATTTGTCAGCTGACAATTGCTGTTCCCGACTGAGCGCACTCGGATGCATCCATCTCATGTACCCGCCGTAGCGTTATGATATTGAGGTTTTTCTTTTTCTTGCCTGTCTCAGGCGAACCCGCCGTTCGTGGAAGAGGTGATGGAGCGCATGGTGGACCACATGCACTACCTCTTGCGGAGAGCGACGGGCCCGATGTCCTTTGCAGTCATCGTTCCCGGGTGGGACGACGACGGCTGCCTGAGCTACCAGAACATGAAGAACTCCCGCTTTGCAAGACCACACCCTGGTGAGCGGTTGCCTGTAACAGCCGCGAACTACTTAGCATCGACGGTGTTCGATGAGCCAGGCTGCAACGCTACGCTAGCCACCTCTTCGGCAGAAGCAATTGATCCCCCAAGATTGAGCCGCCCGAGCTGTGTAGCCGTTTTTGAGTTCCCTGCGTCGCCCGTCGCCGCTCGCTGCTCTTAAGTTGGGTTAAGAGTCGGCACGTGTGGCGGGGCAGCTGATGGAGGCGACTCCTTGCTGGTTGTCGCGGCTATGTACATGTATTTGGCGTATGGATGTCACCAGGAAATCGAAAAAGTGGCCTAGGCCAACGGCATGCTTTAACAATCTCGCTCCTTTCTTTTCGGCGCACCCGTTTTCCGTTGGAAGGCTTCCACCTGACCCTGCAGAAGGGCATGCACAACTACCGGCCGGGTATGCAGCACAGACAGGACGTCGAGGAGAAACCGTCCAAGTGAGAGAGACAGTGATTCCACATTTTTTGTATGCTACAGTGTTGGTTTTGGTGATACTTCCTGCGTCGGGAGTGGGTCCTGGCTTCGAGGAGACTTCCCGGCTGGCGTTCTTACTGGAAAGAGGGGGGGGGGGGTCCTCTGAAGTGGCCATAGCTCGTGCTGGTGGGTATGGGGTGCGTGGAGTGATGCCGATAATTCCCTTCCTTGACGTATTATCTCGAGGCATACGCGAAGAGTATTTATGTGATCGTCTTTGGTGCTTTTCCCACAAACAACAACTTTCCCGACGCCAGTTTCGAATATTTCCACACACAGGACAGATCAGATCGCTATAGATCGCCATAGATCATTTCGGTCGCAGATCACAAAAATCTTTATCTACAGGTGGATCTGCACATGTTTTTGACTCTTGATCCATAGACGCAGATTGATCCGAACATATCTGACGATCTTGATCTAAAATCCATAGATCATCGGTGATATTTCCAATTCTTGATCTATAGACGCAAATAGATCCGAACATATCTGCCGCTCGTGATCTATAATTCAAAGATCATCGGTGATATTCCCGACTCTTTATCTGTACACCACAGATCATCGGTGATCTTTGCCGCTCTTTATCTGTAGATCACAGATCTTCGGTGATCTTTGCCGCTCTACATTTGTAGACCACAGATCATGCGAGGGGTCTTTCGTGCCGTGTGGCACGTGCCATGTCAGCTTTTCGACAGAGGCACGTGCCATGTCAGCGTCTCGAGCGAGGCACGTGCCATGTCAGCTTCTCGACAGAGGCACGTGCCATGTCAGCTTCTCGACAGAGGCACGTGCCATGTCAGCTTCTCGAGCGAGGCACGTGCCATGTCAGCTTCTCGACAGAGGCACGTGCCATGTCAGCTTCTCGACAGAGCTCTCCCACACCTTCCACACATGACACAGTTCCCACACACGCGAGAGGCCACGCGCGCCTAGGATTACAGACATGAGTGGCAGCAGCCGCCGCGGCTCCAGACCAAGAGGTTTCCCTGTGGACGGTGATGGGAGCCCAAGCCCTCCGACCGGTGATGGGAGCCCCAGCGCTCGGACGACTTGCCTTTTTTGATAGTGTAGGACTGTTGTCTGTCGTGAGCTTTTATTGACTTTCGGACCCTTCGGATCCATATTGTGTTCATGCATTGTGCCTTTTTGGGGTAAGTCAGCCATTGACCACGAGAATCGGCCACGTCAAGTGTTGTCGTGAGTGTTTCACTACATAGTGCGGACAGAAGAAGATACTGGGTAGAGAGAACGGAACAGTTCTATACATATAGTCTATATGCGAAGACAGCAACAACAACAACAACACATATATTGGCTCTTCATCTGTAGGCCACAGGACCACAGATCATCTGTGACATTGTCATGTGTTGATCCATAGATTCGGATACATGTGTAGATCCGAACGTGTTTGTCGCTCTTGATCTATAATCCACAGATTATCCGTGATATTTCCGGCTTTTGATGTATAACCCATGGATCATCACGGATCATCTGTGATATTTCCGATTCTTGATCTATAGACAAAGATTGACACGAACATGTCTGCCGCTCTTGATCTATAATCCATAGATCATCCGTGATATTTCCCATTCTTGATCTTTAAACACAGATTGATCTGTACATTGTCTGCTGTACATGATCTATTAGATATCCATAGATCATCTGTGATATTTCCAACTCTTGATGTATAGCCACAGATTGATCCGAACATGTCTGCCGCTCTTGATCTATATTCCATAGATCATCGATGATACCTGCGTGCTCTTCATCTATACTCCACAGATAATCTATGATACTTCCAACGCTTGATCTATAGAAAAAGATCATCTAGATCATGATCTATCCGACGTGTGAAATATTTCCGATCGGGCGATGAATTTTACAGATGATGATGCGGATGCTCGGGCGCCAGCTCCTGCAAGACTCAGTACTTCGACTCAGAAACGTATTTTGGTAGAATCACCAGCGTACGCAAGTGTAGAGAGGGCGGACAACACTCCCTCCCTGTAGTGGAGAAGATCGCCATGCGTGCGTTTGTCAAATCCGGATTGCGTGACTCTTGGTATGCAATGTTGGACGAGTTGCGCTTGGCTCGCGGGTATGGTATGATATTCTGAAGTATGACACGCCCGGAGTAAGGCGGAGGATGCCCCATCGGCGCCCACGAGTGTGCCGCCCCATGAAAGTATCTAACCGCACCACGCCCACCCCCGCCCCACCCACCGCCTCCGTTGGACCGTTCTCCACTCCCGGCCGTTTACCCTGAACTCTCCCATCTCGCCAACAACGCCCCCTATCTAGCTGCAACACCTTCCTGTTCATCCTTCAGAACGACTGGGGGGCAGACGCGTGGCCGGTTTCCATTAGCAGTCTAGGCCAGCTGCAGGCGGAGCTAGAGAGCGAAGCGAGGACGCTGGCTGCCAGGAATTGCTAGCCTGCTGGTTTCCTCTTGTAGACCCGGCCTTCGGAAGGAGGGGGTTAGAATCGATACATGTTAATCCTTTCCGACCGACCGGTTGGGAAGGCGACCCCTCCTGAGAACCATGCGGCTGTCATTTGTAGTAGACCCGGAATACGATGCTGCTAACGATGCTGCGGTGGGTAAGGGCCGCGGTTTCAGCACGTGAAGTTGTTTGCGTTCGTTGGCGGAAGCTGGAAGCCTGTGTTCGGTCACTCCTGTCCACTGCCGAATCAGACCGAAGCAGAATATCCGAAAGAAGCGGTGTTTCCGTGATGTTCATTGACTCTCACTTGTGCACCTTTCGGACTCTTTTTTATCGTTCCTCCTGTTCCGAGTGTGATACCATGGGTAAAAGTGCTTCAAGTCGTGTGACGCATTGCCGCGATCGGGTTTGCTGTACATGCTTTGACGTATTTGAAGCGAGAAGACGTGGCTTCGATCTACCTTGCCCCACTTGAGCAACGTTCGCTGTCCATTCGGCGAGCAAAACGTGTGGGGTGCTCTCCACGGTTGTCGCTTCCACAGAAATTTGGCCGCAAAACTACTGCTGTGGTAGACGGTGATGATGAGTTGATAACTTCGCAAAGCTTGTGGTGAAGTATGGGACATCGGTTCAGATCTCAGGGTACCCACCCCACCCGCACCACATCTACATAGTGGTGTCAGTGTCGCTTATTTTGGTGTGGTCAGTGTCCTCTAATGCCGCCGAAGAAAAGGAAAACCTCCGGCCAATCACTGCCGCGACGTCAGAGCACCGTGTTTGTTCCTGCAAGTGACCCATTTTTCGGGAGGTTTGCATATGTCTTGAGATGATCCTTCCTTTTGTGAGCCCGTTGGCACAAAGGAAAAGGGCTTCGGTTGAGGCCGGGGCTACCCCGCGCTGATTATCATCGTCCAATTAGCACTTGAGGATAAAAACTGACTTTTCCCATGAACGCTTGGCTTGAAGCCTGCCATCAACACACATGGGGACAAATGGTTGCAGTATGACTTTCGAATCAAAACCACGCCGTTGGTTTGACGGTCTACTACTAGGACAACTCAGCTGGCTTCAACGCGCAGGAACCTCTCGACAACTACTGTACTGTACGCTTATATTTACCTACAAACAAGGCACCTCCAAATTGCCCGCCAGGCAATCTCATACATTATCCCACCATAAGACGCAACAGCGTCTGCACCGGTCATACAGTACACAGGCCCGCACACAAGATACACCCACAGGCGGACCGCAGAAAGGGGGGCGACTTACTAATACAGAATTTGCCGGATTTTGTCTTCGTCACAATAAAACAAAGCGGCACCCCTTGACGCTGACATACCTCGCCAGAAGTTTGTAACCGCCCGCCGGAGAAGCCTTTTGACGCAACGAACGACAAAGGGCGGGCCTTGGGTCACTACCGCCCTCACACAACCCACTGCTCGTTCCCGGCAGGTCTCCTGCAGTACGGGACTGTCAGCAGTGATATCATCAAGCCAGGTTGTTGTGTCAGATGACACCGCTGTTCCCTTCCCCTGGAACACCCCCAGACGCCCTCAACCGGGCGACCAGGCCAGGCGGGGGTGTATCGTGCGTGCCCGAGAACCGAGCGAGGCAGTTGGCCATGCAGCCCTGGTCGAACGGGTTGTGGTACTGACCGCTGTAGTTGGGCGCTAAGAGGTAGTCAACCCGCCCCATCATGTGGTGCTCGCTTGTGGTGAGGTTCTGCCTGATCAGTTGGCTGAGGCGAGGCGACAAGAAAAAGCGCAAAATCGTTGACAGCGGTGTGGAGCAGGTCAGGGATGGGTGGGCGGGGCACGCACGGGACGCCCGGGATATGAGTATATTCGCAACACTGAAACCTGACGTTGCGCGCACGCACCCTACTCAAGATGCACACGTACGTGCCGCAGGAGCCAACTCTATCGGTTCCTACTGCATCTGTATAACAACTCAAAAGTCACTGATACGATACGCGGGGCCTACAGCTACCCAGTGCGAGAAGACAGCTGCTGTCCATTGAGGTCGTGCCATGCAAGTCGAGATGGACTCACGCGTGATACATGAAGAGCAAAATCCCGAAGCCGGCAAAGAGGAACGAGTACGATCCAGACACCGCCACCGCCCAGTTCAAGCCTAAGTGCCACACCCAGTCCACGCACATGGCTGTGTAGGACACGGTGCTGACGAGCAAGGATAAGTGCGTTGCGGAAACAGCGATAGAGGGTCAGAGGCAAGACGAACCTCACAC